GCAGGAAACCGGAGTACCCGGAGGAAACCCACGCAGGCACAGGGAGAACATGCAAACTCCAGGCAGGTGTTGCCATGGCTGGGATTCAAACCAACGACCCAAGTGCTGCCAGGTGATAAATTTTTTATTACTTACATTGGTTGTAAAGGCTCAAGGTTTTTTATCTTCATTCTATGCATGAAGGTAAAAAAACCTGTTTTCAGCAGTGCACCCAGACCCTCAATACTTACCTGAGCCTCATCATGATGTGCATGAAAGCCTTGGCTGTCCCGGGTCTCTTCCTCCTCATTGGCTGAGACAGCAAGCAGGAGCCATTGTCAATCACAGCCAGTCAGCCAATAGGGAGAGGGGGACAGGGCCAAGCCATGGTTCTGTGTGTGAATGGACACACAGAGCAGCAGGTGCCCCCATAGCAAACTGCTTGCTGTGGTGGCACCTGACAGGAGGCAGGGGCCAGGAGAGCCTGCGGGGGACCTGAGAAGTGGAGGATCCAGGCTGCTCTGTGCAAAACCACGACACACAGCAGGTAAGTATAGACATGTTTAGTATTTTACAAAAAAAATTAACCTTTAGTATTGCTATAAGAAACCAAGGTAATACATACTTTTTTTTTTACAAATTAGGTTTTATGTTGTCAAAATATTTGTTTTATTTGTAGTCTAGAGATAAAAAGAAGTAACATTTATTTTTTTTTGATGAGTATAAGTTTTAGGAAAAGTATTTTTACTGTAAATAAAAATATACATTTTATTCTATAATTTGTTTGATTTAAAATGACACTACAATGAAGGACTCTGGTACAGACCATGTTATTTGCAAATGAATAGAGGTGTTTTTTTTTTAATTGTTCCAATGTTAATACAAAATTGAAAAATTATAAACAAAAGAAATGAAACAGAAAATTAATAAATACAAGGACTCGGGTATATGGTGCTATTTGAATGCGGAGAAGGGTCTAATACCTAAGTTCTGGCATAGATCAGAGGTGCCGAAGATAGAGGATTGGGTGGAGAGAACGAATCAGATATGTAGGATGGAGAAATTGCATTATATGCAAGAAGACAAGATGGGGTTATTCTCTAAGAAGTGGAGAAAATGGGAAGAATTTATGGGGAATTATATGAAGTAGCAGTGTGAGAGAGATGGAAGTATTCTATATTCTAGTTGGGAAAAGAGGTAATAGAACAATGCAGAGTGGGTGGGTTTATATGGGGGGAGGGAGGTCTTATTTGGGGAGGAGGGAAAAGATAGGGGGGGGGGGCGGTAATGGGAATAAAGTTAGTATGAAATGTAATTTATGATCTGGAAATGGTTTTTGTATGAGAATAATGATGAAATATGTACTATATTTGAAAAATAAGTAAAATATTTAAATTAAAAAAAAGAAACAGAAAATTAATGCTAACAAATAAGAAATAAAAAAAAATACCAGAATAATGATAGCTAAGAGGAGATAGGGAGTAAGGAGATAACTATGGATAATAAGAGGGAGTTAATTATAGCTGAATAGAGTAAAAATATAAATATATTTTATTTAAACCATTTTTTTCATGTGTAGGAAGAATAGTCAGTTTCTTCTGAATTATACAAATTCCTTGGAGCCCGTCAACCTGCCTGGATGAGATTAATTGGTCATTAATTCCTTTTATACTCAGGCAGGGCACAGTACTGCTACATATTACTCCTCCCCATCGTTTCGACCCAGGAGGGGGTGAAATACGCAAGTCCTCACTTTGGCCCCTCTGTGCCATCTTCCACCCACATAGTCCAAATCCTGTCTGACATCACTTTTATCAAAAGGAAATCTTACTTCCTGGCTTATTAGGTGACTTCCCCTGTGTCCCCCTGCTACACGGACTTGCGCTCTATAAAGACACCCCCATGCCTTTTTTACGGGTATGCTTCCAGAAGCACTGTCTGCCCATTTTCCTTGGGGCCACACTAGTCCTTTTACCACTTGAGAGTTTACAACTCGTGGTACCTTTTTAACATGAAGTTGACCCCTGAGCTTTAAGTGCCGGGTACCATTAAAGTTACAAAGCGCTCCGTTAATTTCCTCTAAACCAACCTTTTTGCCGCTGGCTGTGGAAGATCAATGGCACTGACATGCAACAAAAGATGAAAAATGGTAAAATAAGTACTTTATTGAAAAAAAAAAATTTATCAAGATAAATGTAACTCAAGGTTTACATCTACGGTACATTTATAATGCAAGTGACTATGAAGCTGCCAACAAGCTGGAATACATATGCAGTACTAAGCTTATTCATGTTATACAGATTGTGCTAAACAGGGGCGGACTGACAACTCATGGGGCCCCCGGGCAATAGGGGATCATGGGGCCCCTGTGTCCTTGCCCAAACTCAAAAAAGCCTATGAAAAAGGTACCGGGGCATCTCATGGGGCCCCCTACTGACCCCGGGCCCTCGGGCAGTGCCCAAGTTTCCAAATGGTCAGTCCGCCCCTGGTGCTAAATATTGGTGCTAAGGACTAATCATGAGTGAAAGAAAAACATTACAATCCAGGTGTCCATTAAAAAGAATCTAAAAAGAACAAGTCAGGAAAGGACATGTGAAAGAATCTGAATCCTCCTCCTAGGTTGTTATAACAGTCAATACTCAAATCTTACTGCTACACTTATTACTCCTTAATAAAACACGAGATTCAAGATGCTGATAACTGGGAGTTATAGTGAGGTGTATATTGAGGAGAGCAGGGAAAGGAGACATTTAAAGATCTGACAATTTAAAACTTTATTAGATAAAATAGTTTATGTATTCATAAGGCTTCCAGGCAGTTAAACGTTTATGTGCTTTATGTAACGCTTAACCACTTGAAGACCAAGCATTTTCTGGGACGTTTTGTTTACAAGTTTAAATCAGCATTTTTTTGTAGGAAATTACTTATAATCCCCAAACATTACATACAGTTGCAAGAAAAAGTATGTGAACCCCTTGGGATTACCTGGAGTTTTGCATGAATTGGGCATAAAATGTGCTCTGAACGTCATCTAAGTCACAACAATAGAAGAACACAGTCTGCTGAACATAATACTACACAAACATTAGATGTTGCCATGGTTTAATTGCACATAACATGTAAACATTCACAGTGCAGGGAGGAAAAAGTATGTGAAGCTGTGGACTTAATAACTGGTTGACCCTCCTTTGGCAGCAATAACCTCAACCAAACGTTTCCTGTAGTTGCAGATCAGACCTGCACAACGATCTGGAGTCATTTTGGACCACTCCTCTTCACAAAACTGTTTCAGTGTAGCAATATTCTTGGGATGTCTGGTGTGAATCGCTCTCTTAAGGTCATGCCACAGCATTTCAATCGGGTTGAGGTCAGGACTCTGACTGGGCCACTCCAGAAGGCGTATATATATTTATATATTTTTTTTTTTTAATTTTTTTATGAAAAGACTCTAGAGAATGAAATGGCAATCTTTGCAATTATTTTATGTCACATGGAATTTCCGCAGTGGTTTTCCAAATGCAATTGTGATGTAAAAATACACTTTAGTAATTTACAAAGAAAACCCCACTATATACACCCCATTTTTTTTTTGTAAAATATGTAAGAGGATGTTACACCTTGTAAATAGATAACTATCATGCCGCACTTGCGTATGCTTGTGGGATGGCGACAAACTACGGCACTTAAAAATCTCTATAGGTGACGCTTCCAACATTTTTACAAGTTACCTGTTTAGAGTTACAGAGGAGGTCTAGAGCTAGAATTATTGCTCTCGCTCTAACGTTCGTGGCGATACCTCACTTGTGTGCTGTGTATGTGTTTACGTATGCGTGCGCGATTTACGTGTTTGCTTCCGCACGCGAGCACGGAGAAATGGAGGGTGCTTTTAAAGAAAAAGTTTTCTTATTTATTTTATTCTATTTTTTTACACTGTCCTTTTATTTTATTTCTTATCACTTTTATTCCTATTACAAGGAATGTAAACATCCCTTGTAATAGAAATGTAAACATCCCTTGTAATAGAAATGTAAACATCCCTTGTAATAGAAATGTAAACATCCCTTGTAATAGAAATGTAAACATCACTTGTAATAGAAATATGCATGAAAAGTCCTCTTTAAGAAGAGATCTGGGGTCAAAAAGACTGCAATTCTCTCCTTTACCTTTAAAAGCAAAAGATGAAAAAAACAAATTTTGAACTTTTACTTTAAAAAAGAAAAAAAAATGTTTACATCCGCCGCTGAACGAAAGTGACATCATGATTTCACTCCATTCCTTCATCATGATAGAGGCGATCAGAGAACACAGAGTCTCCCATCGCCTCCATCTTCAGCTGGCCACACTGTTGGATTGTTTCTTGGGCGCACCGGTTTTACCCGTAAGCCAGAGAAACACCAACAAGCAGCAGTAAACATTAAGAAAAGAAGTAAAAAGAAAAAAAAACACTCTAGGAAGTGTGGGTGGTGTTATCTGTGGCTCAATGAACTAGATTGCAACTAGATGGGGCACATTTTTACAAGATGTCATGCACACAGATTTCCAAAGGGGTCACCACCAACACCTCCCAAAAGTGTTGGAAGCTGGGGCTGAGGTATATATTTTTCTAAGCTGTTACTGTTTGGGGGGGGACTGACACAAAGCAACCCTTACATTTTCATGGAAGGTCCACTTCCACCTATGATCATTCATTAAACAATTTATTGTTGAAATTTACTGTTGGATAAAATTGGGAGTGGTGTCACCCTCTTGCCACCCATGTAACTCATATGTGTGATGTCAAAGGGGATGGAACTTAATGCCCACACAACTATGGACAGCCCTGGTTTCATAGACAGCACTCAGTCTCTAGTAATGATCAGAAGCTGGCAGAATGGGCTTCCAATCATGTGACTTTTGTGACTGCAAATCACAGAAGTCAAGTGATCAGGCAGTCCTTCTTGCCAGCTCCGGCATCCCTTTAACTGGGTCTTTACACCCAACTAAAGGGAATGCCGGAGCTGGCAGGAAGGGGTTGAAATAGCTCAACCATTCTTAAAGAACTGAGCATAATAAGTCCTCTTTGGTGACTGCTCTGGGGGGCGATAATCTCTCTTCCAGCGCAGCAAGCTGCAGACGTGTCTCTGACTCTGGGAGGATGCAAAGTAATAGATAAGAGGATCCAGACAACAGTTGATGCTGCTGATACTGGAAGAGAGGATGTAGGTACGATATAGAGTGAAATCATTATTCTTATTCAACTTCTTGTAATAAATTAAATAGATGACATTGACTGGACCAAAACAAAGGAGAAACACACTCAGCACAACCACGGAGAGGCGGATAGCTCGCGATCTTTTATGTGTGCGATCAAATTTTGATCTGCTGAGACTGCGGATGATACCAATGTAACAGAAAGTTGTAATGAATAATGGCAAGAAATTATAAAGTGAGAAAACGGTGCAGAAGTAGAAAAAACCAAAAATATAATAAGCCCCAAAGTGCTGATAATCATGACACATTGTGATACCTAGCACAGGTTGAAACATGGTTTGTTGTTGTATGAGAAGAGGCACAGTGCTGGCCAATGAGATGACCCAGATGACACCACACACCCGCCAGGCTCGGGTCACTGTGCGCCAGGGGAGAGACCGCACCGGGTAGACTATGGCCAGGAAACGGTCCACGCTGATACTTGTCATGAGCAGGACGGAGCAGTACATGTTACAGTAAAATGCTGCCATGACAAAGTGACACATTCCTTCTCCGAAGATCCAGTTAGATCCTGAGAATCTGTAGACAATATAAAAAGGCAGGACGCTAACAAGGAGGACATCTGCAGCGGCGAGGTTCAGCATGTAGACCACTGCCGGCTTCCTGACCTTCATCTTCACCAGGAATATGACGATCGCCATGATATTGAGAGGAAGAGCCACGAGGAACACAACAATATAGATTGATGGGACAAGAATTACCACGCTCCAATGTCTGACTGAAATACTTAAGATGTGACTAACTTCTTCATAATTTTTATATTTAGCATCTGGAAAGTAAGCAAATAATATTAGCATTAATAAATAAATCAGATACATTTAACTCCAGTTTAAAAAAGAAATAAAATGAATGCTCAAATACAGTAAAGTAAAAGTAAAAATAAAAAAAGCAATAGTCACTCTGAACCCAGACCACCCTTCCCCAATTATATACAGTGAGGAACAGAAGTATTTGAACACCCTGCGATTTTGCAAGTTCTCCCACTTAGAAATCATGGAGGGGTCTGAAATTCACAGTGTAGGTGCATTCCCACTCTGAGAGACAGAATTAAAAAACAAATTCAGGAAATCACATTGTATGATTTTTAAAGAATTTATTTGCTGAACATAAGTATTTGAACACCTAAGAAACAGCTAGAATTCTGGCTCTCAAAGACCTATTACTGTGCCTTTAAAAAGTCCACCTCTACTCCACTCATTAATCAAATTTAGTAGCACCTGTCTGAGCTCTTTAAAGACACCTGTCCACCCCACAGTCAGTCAGACGCCAACTACTACCATGGGCAAGACCAAAGAGCTGTCAAAAGACACCAGAGACAAAATTGTGGACCTCCACAAGGCTGGAAAGGGCTACGGGGCAATTGCCAAGCAGCTTGGTGAAAATAGATCAACTGTTGGAGCAATTGTTAGAAAATGGAAGAGGCTAAAGATGACTGTCAGTCTCCCTCGGACTGACTGGGGCTCCATGCAAGATGTCACCTCGTGGGGTATCACTGATGATAAGAAAGGTGAGGAATCAGCCCAGAACTACAAGGGAGGAACTGGTCAATGACAAGAAGAGAGCTGGGACCACATTTTCAAAGGTCACTGTTGGTAGAACACTACGCCGTCATGGTTTCCAATCATGCATTGCACGGAAGGTTCCCCTGCTCAAGTCATCACATGTCCAGGCCCGTCTGAAGTTTGCCAATGACCATCTGGATGATCCAGAGGAGGCATGGGAGAAAGTCATGTGGTCAGATGAGACCAAAGTAGAACTTTTTGGTCTAAACTTCACTCGTCGTGTTTGGAGGAAAAAGAAGGATGAGTTGCATCCCAAGAACACCATCCCTACTGTGAAGCATGGGGGTGGTAACATCATGCTTTGGGGGTGCTTTTCTGCGAAGGGGACAGGACGACTGCACTGTATTAAGAAGAGGATGAATGGGGTCATTTATTGTGAGATTTTGAGCAACAACCTCCTTCCCTCAGTCAGAGCATTGAAGATGGGTCGTGGCTGGGTCTTCCAACATGGCAACAACCCGAAGCACACAGCCAGGAGAACCAAGGAGTGGCTCCGTAAGAAGCATATCAAGGTTCTGGAGTGGCCTAGCCAGTCTCCAGACCTAAATCCAATAGAACATCTTTGGAGGGAGCTGAAACTCCGTGTTGCTCAGCGACAGCCCCAAAACCTGACAGATCTAGAGGAGATCTGTGTGGAGGAGTCGGCCAAAATCCCTGTTGCAGTGCAAACCTGGTCAAGGACTACAGGAAATGTCTGACCTCTGTAATTGCAAATAAAGGCTTCTGTACCAAATATTAACACTGATTTTCTCAGGTGTTCAAATACTTACTGTATGTTCAGCAGTGCGAGACAAATACATTCTTTAAAAATCATGCAATATGATTTCCTGAATTTTTTTTTAAATGCTCTCTTTCAGATTGGGAATGCACCTTCAATAGGAACTTCAGACCCCTCCATGATTTCTAAGTGGGAGAACTTGCAAAATCGCAGGGTGTTCAAATACTTCTGTTCCTCACTGTACAGTATATTGATCTATGTGCCCTAAAATCAACTTTGGTGTATTTTTTTCTAAAAATGTTGTGTTTTCATAAACCATTTTGCTAATATCACGTGAAAAAATTGTAACTACTACTATTTTATTCTTTAGGGTGTCTGCTTTCAGAAAATATACAGTTTTTTGGGGGTTTTGACCTCTGTATGAAACCCCCTTCACTCACCCCATCTTCTACACCCCTCTGTAAAAGCTTCACAATCTTCCATATGTCTTACTTGTTGCTGATGTAGCGCTACCCTCATGATGGCCGCTGTGTTGTGGGTACCCCTAAAATTCTTTCTGCACAGCCAGGCAACAGCTATTTTTTACACAGACTTGCATCCAAGAGACTGTGACCAATCTGGGGGCTTAGTTTTGATGGTTTATTAAAGGAAATCAACTTGGATAGGAACATAAGGATTATGGGATGCCCAGTTGGCTTGGATCAATGAAAGAGGGACACTTCCTTCCTATGCACAAAGGCAGATTCAGCTTCTTGAAAGCCGTCAGTCATGGCAAATCAGTAGTAACGGCTTTTTATGGACGAGGAGCTAGAAGCCCCTCAAAAATAATTTCTCTTGACTACATGCAGGGATGTCTTCTCTCCCCTTCTAGAGCTGCTCTCAGCTCCACATCTGCAAACACTACCAGCCCTCCTAGCTTCTCGAAAGATCTCCCAGGACAAGGATAAAGGATTGAGCCCAGCGCTGTCCCTAGAAAACTTGCTACATGTGGCAATGAATCCCAGGGAGTGCTGCTGTACTCACTCTGTCCTCCTTGCTCCCTGCTGCCCCATATCTCTTTCCCATTCATGTCTCACTGCTGAATGTATCCTTCTCAGCCAGCCCGAGTCCAGCCTGGAGGTGGGCCCCCCTAGACCTAGGGGACCCTCCCAGGCACCGACAGTTTCCTCAGCACTCCATCTTCGACTCCCCTGTCAGCCTGACTGTCCCATATTTATGGACCAGTCCACAACTCTACCTGGACCTCCAAACCTAGGATTGGCAGGACTCCCATAGGCATGCAGATTAGGTTTCCACCCCTTCCTGCTCACTGACTTCTGGAAGGTTCTATAGTCCTCTACATTCAGGAGGAAGTGACAGAGCCACAACCTGTTAAGTCATCCAGCTGCCCTGCAATAACCAAATATCAATCACAGACTCACATAGTTACCATGAGTCATACACAATGACATTACCCAGAATACACTGCACTATTCTAGTAGTACACTAGAGAGTGCTACACTGTACTAAGCTGAAGACTAAGCTGGAGCACCTAATCGGCTCTAGTACCTCCCCACATAATTGTCAGGTCTGAAAGGTTTTTTTTTAAACGTGTGCAAAAAACTGCCAAAAAAGACTGGGAGTGAAAGGGTTAAAGGCAATGTATAATGTTTTTGTGTTCAAAGAGCTTTATTGGATAAAAAAACGACACATTCAGAATCTTTCCAAGACTTAAGTTGATTAAAAACAATACTCCAAACAGAGAAATACAAGTATGAAGACGTAGTATTATTTGTATGGGAATGGGAATTTCAATGGGGACTGATAGCACCCTATTATATACTGACAGGGTTGATAGGCAACAATATATCTATTGAAGTTTCCACCCAAAATGGGCTAAAATATTAAAGAGAGGGAAAGGGGGGTTAGCGTTAAAGGGGATACTTCAGGAACAGGACTGAGAGGGACCCATTGTGGATGTAGATGAGAACCCTGAGCATGCTCGGTAAAAGTACAATATAAGTGAAGAACAGGCGTCTGAGACTTTTCAGACAAGTAGAGAGTCTATGTGAAATGTGGAAGGCAAGTAGGCATCAACCCATTGGGAGGAATTTGGTCATGGTATGGTTTTGCAATGTTGTAAATTTTTGTTTATTAAAAATCTTACAAACAACATAATAAAAAACACATTTACATATATTCAGAAAAAAAAATTATATATATATATATATATATATATATATATATATAAAAACAAAAATAGCTTACTTCAGTATAGAAAATGAGACATGGCTTATTTTGCAGGAAAAAAAAAGAACAGAACCAATCATATATTATTAATATTAATATTATTATTATCTTTATATTGTATCTCAATTTTATCATACCTGACCTCCACCTAAACACCCTCAGGCTAAGAAACGAAATATTGATCCCATGCATGCAGCCTTTTTTTTTTTCAAAGATCTGATCTTACAAAAATCTAGGGGACGTGAAAGGACAGAAAGAGAAGCCACGCCCCCAGAGACTGACAGCCAGCAGCTACGGGGACCTGACATTCCTCCACGCCTTTGTCCAGGCCCCTGGCCGCCACCTCTCCTTCTCAAGACCCTGAATCTTCCCAACCTCACCCAGAATGCTGTGCACCACCACCTCAACAGGAAGGACTTTTTTGCGAATGGAGACCTGACACCTTGCATTTCATGTGTAGTAACTACTAGGCTAACTAGAAAAAATGTCTCAAAATCAAAGTCCAGGTGAGTCTGAAAGGCTCCGTAAGACCAAGTGGGAAAGGAAAGGAATACCCAGAGCCCCACCCACCCACTTGTATTATTTTTATTATTATTATACAGGATTTATATAGCGCCAACAGTTTACGCAGCACTTTTCAATATAAGGGAGACAATACAATTACAATATACATAAATAGAAAAGTGCGGCGCTAATGAATAAGATAAATATATAAATAAATAAATAAAATCTTCAGATGATCTGAAAGGCACAGTAAGGTGTGTGACACAAACTGTGATAAATAACACAGAGAAAAAAGTGGTGACTAATACATCAGGTGAAAAAACATAACAATGTCCAGACAAGATGTCGCAGGATCCTGTGTGTGAAAAGCTGAATATGTCAGGATCAAATGGTAAAATTGCGCACTCACCGGATGCGCTAAGGATATGCGCATAAGATATAAGACCACCGGAAATCCCTCATCTAGTGGGGAGAGTAGATATCCATCTGGGCACAGATGATCCTGATGCTCCCTCTAATTGGTATGTAGTAAGCAGTTTCCAGATCCGGGAGTCCCCTCAGGGCTGATTAAGCCTTTCCTTATAGGTATGAAACTCCCCTCCGGTGGCAATGGTAGGTAATAGGATAT